AGCATACATAGCATGAGGAGTTCCTAAGAGATCAACCAAGTGAGAAGCTGACATGCCCTACAAGGCGAGGGCGTACGTTTGAACAAGAATAAATCCAGTCAGGGGCAGGGCCATCAACGTCGTAGGCCAACCGAACCGTGTCAGTAAGCTGAGCAAAGCACTGACCCCGTGGGTGGTTGCGACCACAAGGCTGGCCGCGGCAGGCACCTGTCGGAACGTGATAGGTGCAGGGAGGGTGGACGACACCACGTTGCAGCTGACGTTGTCCTAACCCCTGCCCCGAAACCTGCTGCTGCCGCTGTTGCTACTGTGGCTGCAGCAAGGTGAGGGGCTGCTGCTCCTTCTGCTGCTGTCGCTGAGTTAGGTACCACGCCGCTGCTCCACCCCCTGCGGCTGGCAGACCAGTAGGTGGCTGACAAACCCAGGCGTCACCTCCACCAGCTGCAGCAGGGGAGTCACCGGCCACTGCACAAGGCGCTCCTCCAACCCCTACACTCCTGCCGCCGCCGCTCGCCACGTCACCCCCATCGCCTCCGCCGCCTCCGCCCGCACCCTGACTGCCCCTCCTGCCACTCCTATCCCGAGACCGCAAAGAAGTCGTAATAGCAGCTGCGGTGACTTTAGTAGCGGCAGTGGTGAGGGAGGCAGTAAAGGTGGGCAGCTGAGGGACAGTGCACTCGTGAAACAGTGGAGAGGGCACATCGGCAGAGGCAGAAGCTACTGAGCAGAGGTTGCTCTCTACGTCCTTGAGGGCCGACTCAAGGACCTCGATAGTGGGCTCGTTAGGGTGCTTCAGAAGAAGAGCGTCACAAACCGAGGCAAGGTGGTAAGGGAGGCTAGTGGCGATGAAAGATAGTAATCGCCACGGGGGGGGGGGGGCGGGGGGGGGGGGGGGGGGATCAGTGCAAGCAGCGCGGTTGCTAGAATCGAGCGAGCACAGATGAGTGATCAAAACAGCACCGCGCGCTCAAACGAGGCGAGGTCAGGAAACAGGAACAGAAGGAACAGGCGACCAAGAGAGACAGTGGTAGGAGTAGCGTGGCGGGCCTTGATCGCAGTCTGGAAATCACTAGCCGTGCGAACCTGAGTGAAGTGGGTCTCCTCAGACTCAGGGAGGAGGCTGCTGAGGGCGATGCAGGCCGCAGCGTCATGCGACTTCCACGCGGTCACGTCAGCACGCTCGCATGCATAACCGTCACTGTCTGCAGGTGTGGGGTCAGCTACTAAGGGCGCAGGGTCAGCAGGCACAGGAAGGTCACCGGAAGCGTGCGGCCACACAGTCTCGTGTGCCTGAACCTGGATTTCTAGGAGGCGGCGCCCACGCAAAAGCCAAACCAAGAACTCGAGCGGCCTACCCTCAGCGTCAAAGCGCAGAACCCTAGGGGTCGCCATAACGGAAGCGTAGAGGTGGATACTGCTGCTGCCGAGACCCTAAACGCCTAGAGGTTCCGAGCAGGGCGCGACAGGCTGAGCGGAAGGCGCGACGCGACGGGACAGCAGGGCGCGACGCGACGGGACAGCAGGGTGCGACGCGACGCGACTCGACTCGACGGGACAGCAGGGCGTGACGCGACGGGCTGGGGGCGAATCGATGGGAGGGGGGGGACGAGACGCGACGGGCAGGGGACGGAACTATGGGCAGGGGACGAGATGACGGGCAGGGGACGGGACGACGGGCAGGGGACGGGACGGGCAGCGCGACGCGACGGGCAGGGGACGCGACGGGCAGAGGACGCGACGGGCAGAGGACGGGACGGGCAGGGGACGCGACGCGACGGGCAGGGGACGCGACGCGACGGGCAGGGGACAGAACGACGAGTAGGGAGGCGCGTCGAGTAGGTGACGGGCGGGTGACGGGCGCGACGCGACGGGCAGGGGACGCGACGCGTCGGCTAGGGGACGGGCGCGACGGGCACTTCGAGCGCTACGAGCGCTTCGTGATGGAACGGGCAAGCGCTAATGGCGCTACAGGAGGCACGGGCATTTCTTGACAGAACGGGCAAGCGCTAAGGGCGCGACAGGATGGAACGAACGGCCACGACGGGCACTACAGGACGAAACAGACACAGCGGGAACGGTAGACTATGTGCAACGGGCGCGAAAGGCAGGGCTGATTTTATCAGGGTAATTACCCTGATTTCAGGGTGATTCCAGGCTTTCCACTTTGTGGAGACTGAAATTTCAGAGTTATTGAATTTTCAGCCCTGATCCAATCAGAGTAATAGTTTAGCTATCCTTGATTTTGAGTACATTGTAACAGACTAGGCTGTTAGTGGACCCTGACTTAACAGAGTATCGACTCTGTGGACCCTGACTTATCGAGAGGAAGTTTCTCAGAAGTTTTCTTCCGATGACCCCGCCTTGGATTGATCGCAGTGATCCCCCCATATGTGCATAATCCCCCCCCTTTCCGCTTTATCGAGAAGAAGTTTCTTCGAAACTTCGTTCTGATACACCTACCATTGAGATCGCGCGAATCTGCAATGTCAGATATACTTTGCTGGGATTGGTCGAAATAGGCTCTGACAGCGGAAATTTTTGACTCGAACAGGTGTGACTCGCCCGTTCCGTCGTTACACTCGCTCCAGAAGGAACGCCTCTGAGGGTGACTAACTACAGTCGCAGCGTGTCTGATGCATGCCATTTGAAGGAGATCCGATTGGGCATGGTAAGACAGGGAAACGTTACACTCGAACACCATATAGGTCAATCACACCCGCCCTGCACAAATCAGTCGAGTGTACAGCCAGCGGGAAACACAGCGCGCAGACTTTATGGATGGTGGGGATTTTCTCCCCGGTAACAAAGCGTGCGTTACTTCTCTGATGTTCAGTTCTTGACCCTGAATAATCAGAGTTAACTACTTTACAACCCTGAGCAATCAGGGTACTGCTTTTCTCGAAAATGTGCACCCATAATAGAGGGGGAAAATTTTCCCCGGAATCAGGGAGGCTTAAAATGAAACGTCAGCCCTGGCGAGAGGCACTAGCGGGATCTCAAAGGATCCTAATCTAGGTGATACCATCTCAAGAATGAAAGTGTTGGTTTGACTAACCCTAACAGTTGTACCCCTTATAACACACATCACTAAGACTACTGTATTCTCCCGGACATAACACCCGGGGGTATTATGATAACCACAGGGAAAAAAGGGGGGGGGGTCCTCTCAACGGAAAATCCTATATAATACCCGGGTCGTTATATATGGTATATTTTAATGCAAGAGGATTCTCAAATTAGACAGTTTGGGTGTTTCAATGGTCGTTTTAACATCACAGTTTGAGGCGAGAATGTGAGTTTTGGCAAGAATGTGAGTTTCACCTTTCGGGCCACTTGCAGCGGAAGATTCGCCAGCGTGGCAACTTCCTAGAATGTGGGATGGGGGAAATGTCCACTTGCAGCGAAAGATTCGCCAGGGTGGCGACAGTGAGATTGTGGGAGGGGGAAATGTTGGCGGATTCTAAGTGCAAGTACGCGCGAAATTTCATTTAGGAAGCAATTCTCGCGATATTCCCCTATAAGGAATCAGACTCGATAACAACTATAATAGGAATGTGTAAGAAAAGGGGGGTGTTATAGAAAATCATCCAAAAAGGGGGGTATAGTAGAAACGAGGTCGCCCATAGCACCCACCCCGCACAAGCTACCCGGGGGTGTACTATCATGGGGGGGTGTTTTGTCCGGGAGATTACGGTACAACATTTGACAGGGTTTATACAGTGGCATGAGAAAATTATGTTTATCATAGAGTTCCCATTTATAAGATCTATAAGACTAAGACATCTTTAGTTCCTGTTATAAGATAAAGCAACCATTTTTTTCAACAATATTAAATAGGACACATACCGTAAGCCCCCGGATAGAAGCGCAGGCCTAGGATAAGCGCCGGCGCTTATAAAAGGATGAGGGCGCTTATATCCGGTCCTCGATTATAAGCGCACCCCCTAGAAAAAGATGATATATTATAAGCGCATGTTTATTTTATATTTGAAAACCTTTCAAATATCAGAAACGAATTTCACATAATCAGGGAAATTAACTACAATTTCGATTTCCCACACTCTGAACTCACTTTTTGCGCGTCTAGTCAGCATGTGCTGTAATTCTGTCAGGGTGAGCTGGCAGGGAATCACTCCCTGCCAAGCTGCGCGAGAATCAGATTAGCGACCCTATATGTTTTCGACTCGATTACATCGGCAGAACGAGATATACAGTTTGGTGTAAAACAAATATATATTCTTTTTGCCATTTTATAAGCGCCGGCGCTTATAAAATTCCTCAATTATAAGCGCACCCCCTAAAAAACAGTGTTTTTTTATAACCCCAGGGGCGCTTCTATCTGGGGGCTGACGGTACATCTGATTTCCAGGCGATGACGGTAGTAAAATAGAGTTGATGCATGTAAATTCGCTCGTAACTTTGCATCCCTTCACTTCCCTAGTGCCTCATCTTGTGATGATTTGCGGTGCCCACTGAGCTTTGAATAGACAAAAGACCATAATTCATGGCACCACAGTAGTTCACTGCCACCATACAAGTCGGGCTTCATTGTTTTGCGTTGTGCATAAGGCGTCAACTCATATACTAATGAGAGGAACGAATACAAATTACATTGTAGTGCGGGCGTTGACAAGACCAGCAACGGAGGATGCAAGGGAACGTAGGAGGGAGACCGTGAAGCCGCTGATAACACCTGCCACAGAGGGAAACACGACGAGTACAGAAACAGAGCAAACGCAGCACAAACAGGGAAAATTAACGACATCGCGGTGAGTGGAACAAGGAGCAAAGGGATGGCTGAGAGTTCAGGGTTTAAGGTTTAGGGACCACTTTGCAGAGGTGAGGAATATGGGTGGGAGGGAGGAGAAGATGGGATTCGTATCATGGGGTAGGGAGGGGGGAGCAAGGATGGCGTTGGGAAGGTAAAATACAGAGAGAATAATCAGGGAAGAGGCAGAGTGAGAAGAGTGATGTGCAGAGGGGAGGGGAAAGAGGCTGACAGAAGAAGATGATGGTGGCGAGGGAGGCGATGCGACCGACAGCTGCTGTGACGTAGAGGAAGAGCAGCACCTGGCATGGCAGGGAAGAAGAGAAACAGCTGAGGGGGTCACACACACACCCTTGACTGGCCTGACCAAGGATGGTCCACACGGAAACGTGCATGCATGAGCCGGGCCCATGGATAAGCCATCAGCAAAGGACAATGTTGATGCGCAGAGGTAGAGTCGACTTCTGAGCCGCGGTGTTGACTCTCAGCTTCCACTGCAAGCTATTCTTGAACGAACTCGCGAAGGAGCATGAGTTGTGGTGCTGCGAGTGACTCACTGCCCAGTGGCCACTCCACGGCACCCCAGCAACCACCTTGACGAAGAGGCGCACGTCGGAGCCGCTGGCCGCCACTCGCAGCACGCCCTCCGCTGCCCCCAGCACGTTGGCCCCCGCCGCCACCACCGCCTCCGCTGCCCCCTCCGACACCTGCCAGGGGCGCGCTGTGTGCAGCAGTGGGCTGGGGGACGAGGGGGGCGGGAATGCAGAGAAGGGAGGAGCAGGAGACTGGGAGGCAAACGGAGTAGGACTAGGGAGGGCAATGGGGGCGAACAAGAAACTTGTCCGGCGGCCCTGGAACAACAGCCACCCTTCCAGGACTAGTCGCTTTCTGTGGTGGCATCCGCCCCTGGTGCTGCACGCTGAGTGCGAGCGATGGGCCACGGGTGTGGGGTGGGAGTGCGCACGGGGAGAAGAGCAGTGGAAACAGGAGGCTGGTATAAAGGCATGCTTGGAACCTGGAATAACCAGACAAGAAAGTGGGGACCGGAGGTGGAGGAGGTGGAGAAGGGATTAGGAAGGAGCCGGGGGGGATAAGAGGGAGGGCGAGTGAGCATGTGGAGGTGATGTTTGAAAAGGTGTCGTGGTTTGGTAACGACCTGCTTATGTCCAGGACGAGGGACGGACACGTGCAGAGTGGCAGGTGGAGAAAGGGAGAAGGTCAACTCACGGGAGGTTGAGGGCGCGTGAGAGGAGGGCGAGCAGGGCGGCGGCGGTGGTGAGGACAAGGAGCACGTCGGCAGTGAGGGCGAGGAGGGGGCGGTGCATGGCGTGGCAGTGCAGATACACCACCCCCGCCAGCACGCCCCCCACCACCCACACATGTGCCTGCTGCCGCGCGGGCACAGCATACAGCATGGCCGTGGGGTGCAGGCCTGCTGCTGTGGTGCGGTGGGCGGGGCAAATGGGCGGCAGGGTATGCGGGAAGAGGTGTAAAGTGAGATGTGTGACAATATGGAAGGAATAGACAGGTGGGTGGGTGCATGCATGCGCGAGTTGCACTGAATCAACCATTGGAATTTGGTTTCAAATAGTTACTGTGAAGCACACTCACACCCATGTGAGGCACATACACCTATGCGAGGCACATACCCCCATGTGAGGCACATACCCCCATGTGAGGCACATACCCCCATGGGAGGCACATACCCCCATGTGAGGCACATACCCCCATGTGAGGCACATACCCCCATGTGAGGCACATACCCCCATGTGAGGCACATTCCCCCATGTGAGGCACATACCCCCATGCGAGGCACACACCCCCATGTGAGGCACCTGCAGTCTTCATTGAGCCACTTGCTGAGACAACAGCGAATCCCACCGCTCAGTCTTGCTTGTGCCAAGCTGCATCTGAGGAGGAGCAGAGAGGAGGGACAGGGGCGCGAGAATGGTGACGGGTGGGACACAAGAGCGCCAGTGGAACTTCATTGCATCAAGAGAGCATTGTAGCAATAACGGAAAGGGCAGCACAGGGAAAGGCAGAACAGGAAAGGAGTGCAAGGAAGGGCAGAGCAGGGAAGGGCAGAGCAGGGAAGGGCAGAGCAGGGAAGGGCAGAGCAGGGAAGTGAGCAGCGGGAGGGAATGGCAGTGGGAGGGAAGGTGGAAGCGCGCAGAGTGCAGTGCGTTGGTGCGTGCATTCAATGTTTGAAGGGCACTGGTTGTTGTGCCACACATGCACCGCACCTGGCACACGTGCAGCGCACGTGGCGTTGGTGGGACCTTAAGATGCGACGGTGGGGCTCACTGGCCGCACACGCTGGCGAGGCGGGATTGACGAGCGGAGATAACTGCGGCAGGGACAATGGTGTGGCAGCAGGGACAATGGTGTGGCAGCAGGGTCAATGGTGTGGCAGCAGGTAGATTCGCTCGGAATAGGGAACGGAAGGGGATACAGGGGAAGGGGGGGGGAGGAAAAAGGAAGGGATAAGGGAAGAAAGGGGAGTACACGCGGTTGAGAAGGAGGGGAGGGAGAAGCAGGCATGGGTATGGAAGGGAAGGTATGGAAAATAAGGAGGAAGGGAGGAATACTATCCCGTCATGTCTCTCCACCCCCTCTCGAGTCCTTACCTTACAGTCCCGTCCCTTCACCCAACTGCCCAACTCACCCAACTCCATTCCCATTCCTCCAACATCCTAACCTGCTTCGCTTCCTACCCTCTCGCTTTCTGTTCCCGTTCTCCTCCTTTTCCTCTCACGCCGTCCCACACTCCCTACCTGGTAGCACTACGCGGATGGCTTCAGCGCCGGCATCCGCCGAGAGTGCGAGGGGAGCGCGTGACGGGGGTGAATGGGTGCGAGCGGTGGGAGTGAAGGATACGCGACGTATTCGCGGGTGGTTCGAGAGAAGCGGGTCTAGTGGCCTGCTGGTCTCGCTCTGCCTCGCGTCGTCTGATCGCGGACCCCCAATGGCGCGCGGGTGAACAACTGTGAAACGCGACGGCACTCGTTTATCGCTACTATACGTGGCAAACCACCCAAGGCGCTGCGGGATGGGATGACGCGGCTCGTCGTTCTAAAAGCAGATGCGAGGGGTATCGCCTCTAGGGTGGCGCGTGCGATGGACGCGGTGCTCGCGCGGAGGTGATCGCGCGATGCTAAGCTGGATATATAATTCATGCATGCCCTGGTCTCTTGTTCCATTTAGGCGAATTGGTGCACAGGCTTTCGGCTTGCTTTCCCAATCCAAGCCTGGGCCAAGCGTTTTTGTTCACCGTTTGGTTTGGTTGGGGCCAAAGCGTCAGACCTCACCTCTCGGACCGGTCCACAACCACGGAGCCTGTCCAGGTTAAGGTTATATAAGGTCGTAACCATGCACAGCAAAGCATAGAGAAACTAGAAATATGGTCTACACAACCAGCAGCCCAAAGGCGCACGTAGGAAACACGTTATTTCTATATCCCACGGATAACCACCAGCACGGCTGGGGAGCTCTCTATGCTGAAAAAAAAGAAAGGATTAGGGGGGGCGGAAGGAGTCCCCTAGCAACCAAGAGGCTCGGAGGTCCGGGTGAATAGAAGGGGTTCCGTCATGGTCCAAAACGAGGAAGCGAAATCGAGTGGCTAGCTTGATACGAGCAGCTGAGCGTCGTTGTTTTTTTGTTGATTGTTTCTTGCTTCGCCATAGGAGGATTTTGAAAGCGATGAGGAATTGTGCCAGGATGAGCTGGAGGATCTCAAACCGGGAGGAGGGTGAATCTTGAAACTTGTGTTCACAGTGCGCGTTCCATATAGCTTTTGCAGATGCTCCAACCAGAAGGCTCCAGGGGGCCACCTGTCCAGCTCTGGAGGCGAGCGGAAAGAGCAAGAGCTCAAGAGGAGGAGAGCAGTGGAGGTGGCGAGGAGCGACAGAGGAGAGAGCGGAAATCACTGCGGGGGCCACCCCACACTTGTAGAAGATGTGAGAGATAGTCTCTGTAGGTGCTTCAGTGCAAAGTGAACAGATCCCTCGGTCCATGGCAAAATTGAAATGCGAGCCCGAAGGAAGAGCGCGAATGTAGAACCGGTACAAGACGTCGCGCTGGAGACTGGGTTGCTCGCGTAAAAAGTCATGGGAGAAGTCAGGGACGAAAGGAGGAGGAGCTGGGAGGATGTGAGTCCAACGGGCGGCGTGGTCAAGGGGAAGCTTTGTGTAGAGGCGGCGACGAATCTCGGCTATATTGGGGCATCCGTCCTGTAAGATGTCGAGCCGTGCGCCGAGCCCTGCACCTGTATAGTAGGGGCCTGCAAGCCAGGACCCGACGACATGCACCGCGTAGAGGTCACCTATGTTGAATGTGCCGTCTCCGATTGACGCGCGGACGATGAGGCGGTTGGGAAGGACACGGTGGAGGGAGGCTGAAAGCGACGTCGGAGGGGAAAAAGAGGTGACCTGGAGAGCAAGAGTGGGGGAGGACTTTGAGTCGTCTTTGGGGACGAACCACTCCCCGCAGGCTGCCAAGGGGGGAGGAGGGGAGCGAAGGACTGACCACCAGGTTTTGGGGATGGCACGGACGAGGTCTCTCCAGACTCTACGTCCGGAGGAGGAGTTGGCCACGGGGAATGTTGAGGTGAAGTGTTTAAAGGAGACCACGCCAAGGGAGTGAAAGATAAGTGAGATCAAGTGACCGACCCGAATCTGCATGGATAGGAGGAAGCGTTCACGCATAAGAATTCCGAATGGCTTCCCATTCGGTTTGAGTATGAATTGGTTGAAGGCGGTGGGCTCAGCCATAATACACATAGGGACGAGGCGAGGCGGGGAAATAACCGGGGAGATTTCTATCAATGCATGTAGTTCGGCAAGCGCTCGACTCGGAGTTACCTCTAGAAGGATGCCTGATTGAAGAATGGCGGGGTGTGCTAAGAGACAGTGTGTGCCAAAAGGGAGGCAGACGGCGGCTCTCGCCACCTCTTCTGATGGTGAGGCGCCGAAGCGGCGAAATGCACGGTGGCTGGCAAGAGCGCAGATTTGGGTGGAAGGGGCGATCGCCCCGAGACCTCCATGGCGGGTGGAGTTATACAGGAGACGATCGGGGATGAGGCGGACTGCAAGGCCGTGTTCCTTGAATCGAGAGGAGGAGAGGAAGTTCCCAACCAAAACGTCGAGGCGTTTGATAATGTCGGGGGAGGGGGGTTGAAAACGGCCGGGGAAGGAGAGAACGGAGTTTAAGAAAACCGACGCAAGTGATTTGCGGCAGGAAGCAGTGGCACGGAGGGCGCAAGGAATTTAGTCGTGCGCTGAACGCGAGAGAGTGTCATAGACCAGGTGGTGGCGCCTGGTTGTGCCCGTTCTACATAGATGCCAAGAATACGGTCTGCCTCTTGAGGAGTGCGAATGGGAATGGGGCCAGCGAGGAGGATGAGTTCTGGTGCAATGTAAAATGGGATAATTGAGCATTTATTCTAGTTGGGGTGCTCTCCAGAAACGGCGGCGAAAGTTCGGAGATGTATAAGGGTGGTCCCAAGCTCTCTGACGGAAGAGAGGAAGATGGTGACATCGTCAGCATTGCAAGCCATCAGACGGCATTGGGTCGTAGAGAGGGGGAACCCTGGGAGGAAGAGGGAGAGTTGAAGGATTTCGATGACACATACAAAAAGGAGGGGGGCCAGAGGGCAGCCTTGTCGGACCCCCGTTCGAACGGGGAAGGTGGGCCCAGCAAGGTTGTTAACTGAGATGCGGGTGGAGGTATTGGTGTGCATAAGGCGGACCCAGGCGATGAACTGCTCAAAAAGTCCAAGCGTAGTGAGTGCCCGGAAAAGGAAGGCACGGTCGACCAGATCGTAGGCTTTGCGAAAGTCAACAGTTAAGGCGAGCAGGGGGGTCTTAGTGATTGTGCTCCAGTCAAGGATGTCGAGTGTATCGTTGATCGTATTGCCTATTTTCTTATTCTTAATAAAAGCAGTCTGGGAGGCGTGGTTGATCAAAGGAAGCACAAGTTGCAACAGATTGGCAAGACAGAGGGCCAGTACCTTGTAGTCCGAGTTCATGAGAGTGATGGGGCGGAGGTTCTCTGCGGAGGAAGAGTTGCCCTTTTTGGGAATTAGGACGGTGCGGCCTGAGAGCATTGACGGCGGAAGGGCTTCGGAGATGGGGGGTGAGAAAAAAGTGAGAAGAAAGCGGGAGAGAAACGGGTTTTATGTTGTTGGAACAGTTCACCCGGGATGCCGTCGGGGCCAGGGGTTTTGCCACGGGAGAGTTGCCCTATAGCTTTGTTAATTTCCAGAAGAGAAAAGGGAGATTGCAGGTGGGAGAGGAGCTGAGGTGGGAGTGAAGAAGGGGGAATGTGTGCCCAGAAGGAAGGGTTTGGCACGCCCGGGGTTGCCCCACTATAAAGGGATTGAAAAAAACTTGTGCATTCAGCGGTCATGGCATAGAGATCAGAGGTGGTTTATCCGTCAGATACTGTGAGCGAGGAGATCAGTGAGTCTTTGATGCGGGAGTTAAGTCCTACCAGCAGGGAGGAGATTCCCATCTCCCGATGACCCTCGACTTTGAGTTTTGCTTTTAGAGCGAGCTCAGCGATTTTAGAGGTCTCATATCGTATAAGTTGTTGGCGGGCTTTGAGGAGTTGTGCACACTCTTCTTGGTCGAGAGGAGAGAGGGCGGATTGGAGTTGGAGGCGACTGATGAGCTGTACGAGATGCTCGGTGAGAAGAAACGAGAATGAATGACTAAGGAATGAAAGTGATACAAGTATGCAACCTTAGAATTGTGTACCCCATATAGGCTACCCCACTACAACCTACACAACATTATAATTTGACACACCCCCATAGGCAAAGTGGGGGAGAACAAGGGGTCACAAGACCAGTCAAGCAGAGCAAAGCAAGCTCAGGGTGGATCACAAAGTCACCACACATTTCGAGCACAAGTTCAAGGCCATAAGGCCAGTTCACATGCAGGAGTACATACATATATAGAAGGCTAGACAAGAAAGAGCAGGGGTATATATATGTAACAGTACAAACAAGGTCAAGAGGTGAGCAAGTGAGGCAAGACAGGCACAAGACCAAGCTGAGTGCAGAAGCGCTGATGATCACAAGGCGCAAGTGCCTTGGTGAAGATATCAGCAGTGTTGGCCTCAGAGGCCACGTAAGCAAGACGGAGCTGACCACGCTGCTTCAGCTCACGAGCAAGGAAGTAGCGAAGAGCAATGTGCTTCGTTCTGTGCTCCAGTCTCTGCTCTCGACACAAGGCCAGCATGGCCTTGTTGTCTACGTACAGCACTGGAGGAGAACGAGGCACCTCGCCAAGGTCAGTCAGCAGGTAGGTGAGCCAGCGAAGCTCCTGTGCAGCCATGGCCCCGGCG